TATATATATATATATATATATATATATATATATTAATATCCTTGAATCATATATCTTTGAATTTACACATTATTTCCTTGTTATTTCTATTTAATATTTTCTGATTTTTATTTCCATTTCATATAATTAAGTTAATACCACCCTTATCTTTTGCATCGATCAAATATTCGCATATATGTTAATCTGTATTCTAAATATCGTGGCATCATTTTTTATTCATCATTATAATTTACGATATAAATCTCATTAATACTCTCGTTATTATCATTTCCTTATTATTATTATTTCAATGTAATTATTTATTCGTGTAACATTTAATATTTTACGATAATCTAAGAAATCATTTGTTTTTATAAGTCATAAATAACTTTTGAATCATAATTTCATAACCAATTACAATCATAACTTTACAATACAATATTATATTACGATTATTATATTAACAAAACATTATTTTTCTGTGATTTTTGCTCGGTCGTGGGTTGTAATCTGGAAATATAGTTTGTAATCGAATTCAGTATGTCATTGAACATAAACACACTAGATATCCTTTTCTTAAAACTTATTAATTGTTTTATGCAATCTCGGGACGTAAGAATAGTATCGTTTTTATTCATATTGAATGCGTCATCGCCGCTGCATCGTCGCAAATAAACGTAATACATGAGTGAGCACTAAAGGTGAATTTTCACTGAGCGTGTCACGTGTGCGTTATCTGTGCGTAACGAATTGATCAATTAAAAAAATTCAATTTTATTGTATCATTTTATTGTATTATTTGACGCGACCACTTGTATGACATATTGGTTAAATTGTTCGACATTTTAGATACAAAAGAATACCCCACAAGAAAAAAAAATGGAACACAAATTGGGTATGTTTATAATTCTACAAACATAAATTAAAGAAATAACATTAAAATAAAAATAATATATTAGTATATGCAAAAGTAAATATATATAGGGTGATTCAGAACAACCCTGTGTCTTTGCAAGGACGTACTTCTCAATTAATTCTGAGACGATTTTTCCTCTATGAAAATTTTGTCCGACGCTTACATTTTAAATTATAAAAAAAAGTTAGCGAATAACGAGATGCGTATGGAAGGTAAGCAGGCACAACTCATCGACCGACGCAGGCGATTATTGCAGGGTGTTCGCTGCGTCGATGTGTTTATTATGCGATAGTGCACCTATGCGATTTCTCACTTACTTTCTTTCTTTTTCTCTCTTCTTATTTTTTTTTTTTTTATTTAATTATTTTGTAGAGATCTCTATAATATCTTTACATTGTTGAAGTTTGTTGTAGCTGACGGATGAATTTCATTTGGATGAACGATGTTTCATGTGACAGATTTACACACATATACACACACATATACACACACAGAGTAATAAGCCAGAAATTATTTTCTTTAATAAATTGTATCGCGTGTTAATATTTTCACAGATTTTTACTGATTTGATCTCACTTGATACTCATATATTTGATCGATAGAATGATTTATTTACGAACGAATTTATTAGTTTGTTATTATCAATCACTATTGATTAATTATTTGGTGATTAAAAATGACTTAAAAAAAAAAAAAAAAAAGAAAATACATATTACATGTAATCACAGTAATTTATTAGAAGTTCTCATTTAAATTATCAACATGTTCATGGATTTATTTACGCATTTGATAGATAAAATCATTTATAAACAAATCTATCGAGTCGTTACTATTAATCACCACTGATTAATTATCCCGCTAATTGAAGATTGTTACAAAAAACGCGATGTATACACAGTGCCTGTAATCCGTCGCGGACTCTGTTCGAAGATAACAATAAGACAGATTATGTTCTTAGTGCAGTAAAATGCATTAATTTGCCAAGTGATAATAACGATCTAATTTATCGACCTAATGTAATGTAAATTAGATCGATAAATTAGCCTATTATTATGATGCAGCGTGTTAATGACCGATGTGAAACGTTTGGAATGTTTCGTAACACCAAGTAATAATAGATAAGTTCGATAATATCGGTAGATAATGTATATCTGTTGAATATAATTGGTTTGGTTTTTTTTTTTTTTTTGTCTTGTTGGTTGTGTTTTGGGTAACCTAATTGACTCGTCCTAACCAATTATAGAAAGGTTAGGACGACAAGGTTAGGGCGACATGGTTAGGTTAGGTTAGGTTAGGTTAGGTTAGGTTAGGTTAGGTTAGGTTAGGTTAGGTTAGGTTAGGTTAGGTTAGGTTAGGTTAGGTTAGGTTAGGTTAGGTTAGGTTAGGTTAGGTTAGGTTAGGTTAGGTTAGGTTAGGTTAGGTTAGGTTAGGTTAGGTTAGGTTAGGTTAGGTTAGGTTAGGTTCGGTTAGGTTAGGTTAGGTTAGGTTAGGTTAGGTTAGGTTAGGTTAGGTTAGGTTAGGTTAGGTTAGGTTAGGTTAGGTTAGGTTAGGTTAGGTTAGGTTAGGTTAGTCGTATAACTTCGTATAATGTATGCTATACGAAGTTAT